CTGGTACTAGGTCCAGAGATAATTGTTATCTTGTGGAATTTGATTTGAAGTGCAACAAAACCAGTACTAACTTGACTGAATTATGGCACTGAATATAAAAAAATATGCACAAGCCATTATCAACATAAACAAAGAGCGTAAAAAGTGGGGCATTCGTTGGTACCAAAATAAGTTCCAAAACGAGAACTTTGATAATTTTGAGCCCATTGTTTCATCACTTAAAAGGGAACAAAAGAAGTACGCAAAAGATTTTTTCGGACGGCTCCATTGTTGTTGCGATTTAGCGACACAATTGCAGCAGGTATTGAATTATTTAATTTATTATTAGTTATTATTTTGAAGTTTAAAGTACGATTACGTATTTGTACTTAGTTTTACCACCTCATCTGATATAGGGTCCGCCCGACTTGGATGTTGATCTAATGATCTCAAAAGCTTTCATCATGGATCTCATAGAATTCCAAGAAGCAGCTGCTGCTTTTGGCTTATTACAGTGCTTTGTTTGAGGATCTTGAACCATTATGCATTGTGGTGGATTTGGATATTAGTTGAGCTTCTACCAATATTGTGATGAATTTGGATATTTGTATTTTAGTAGGGTTTGTAACATTATGTTTTGGTGTTGGATATTTGGATATTTGTAATTCAGCTGAGTTCGTAACATTGCTTTGCTGTGATGGATTAATTGGACATTTGTATTCTCGTAACATTTTCAGTCCCGGTTTTAGATTTTATGACAACTACCAACCAATAGGATGTATAAATCGGATCCTTACCAAAATTATGTTCAAAACCTTAGCTGGAGTTCTCATGGGCCAGACGAGCAGCTTGAGCTCAGCCCGAGAGCCCCAAAAACTTGGAGACATGCAAATATTAACTTCCAAGGTATGTAGCCTAACTCCGTTTTTGGACTGGAAATAAGAATTTCTTATGAGTTGGACTCTTTACACTCTTTAAGATGAAATTACATTACATTCTGTCAATAGAGAACCAGATAAGTTCCTCTCTCTAGACCTAACCTTATCTTTCCTCACCTACCTCCTCCTCCTCCTTTTCCCTTTGGCCACCACCTTCGCCTAGCTACACTCGTCGGCCGCCGTCGGCGGCGGCCCGCCACGGCCTCCGGGCCCGTCCTTTCTTTTCCCCAGCAACAGACATGGCTCCCCCCCACTTCCATTGCCGGTACCATCATCTCCGTCACCCCCACCCACCAACCGAGTTCCGACCACCGTCTCACTACCGAACCTGCTCAACCTTTTCTCGCAGCCCGCCTTTCATCATCATGTTTTGAACTTTTTGGTAGGAAAATCCACAATCTCCTCCTTGGAAGAAGGGGAAATCTCTGCACCTACGGCCGACCCTCGGAGCAGCCCCGCCGCCGTCGCAGCTCAAACCTCCGGCGCCTTGAGCCTCTCAGCCGTCGACCAAGCTCCCGCCAGAAACGCCTCAGCCATCCATGGACCTTTTACGGCACCTCTGGGATCTGTCGCAAGATGCCCGGTTACTTTCGGATCTTTGCCACCGGCAATTTTCTCGGACCCCCTCCCGCCGGTCAAAGCATTCTCCCCGACCTACACCCTTGCTCCAGGTGACGGAACCCATGGGAACCCTAACCCGCAGCTGCGCATGGCTTCTGACGATGGACATCCTATTGGGCATATACCTAGACCCAAATCAGCCCCCTCACTAGGCCTACCTCATTTATTTGGGCCTCCCAACCATTTGGCCCAACATCCCTCCTCTAAAGCCTCTTCCTCTCACCAGCCTCTTTCCCTTCTTGGGCCACCTCCCAGGCCCAAATCTTCTCCTCCTCTCCAGCCCACTATCACCCTCCATTCAACCCCCCTTTTTTGCAGCACTGCCCCCGCACCTCACCC